AACTCCATCCGCTTGGACCTCAGAATGGGGAAATTTCCAATCTCGAACGCAAAGTCGCAGCCCTTGACAGGAGTGACAAGATATTCCTCCTTCCAAATGAAGCCAGGCTGAATGTGATAACCAAGAAAGATTCCCTCAACACCAGTCGGCGCAAACTTAGAGTCCGCAGGAATGTTCTGTTTGGGGTTGTTCCAGTACAACACACGTGCACCAAAAGGGATCATTAACCCTAAAAAGGGTTCCCCATACCTGGCCTCCCAGGGAACAATCCCATTGTCAAACCTCTTAGTGGCGTTGAGGGCCATAGCGTGGTGTTGGGCGGCCAACGGCCAAAGCTTGTCGGGGAGACCCGCCTGAACAAGGTTGGAGCGGGTACCCTCCAAAATCGTCCGAATTTCTCTTTCGATTACCGACTTGTTGGTGTCCACATATTCGCGGGATGTAACATGTCGAACACCCAGGCTTTTGATAGCTGCATGAAGCTCAGGTGCGTTGTCGGAGTAGAAAACCCCAACTGTGTCTTCTTGACCTAGGAAATGAAGAAGGTCTTCATAACACTGATCGCTTGACTTAGTCGGAGAGGGGTAGACGTAACGAAATTTGGTGAACACGTCCTTAACAACAAGTGCGACCCTTTCGTCCTGGAACCCATGATCACGAAGGTCACGAGTGATGATATGGTCAACAGTGATGTGGTCCCCAAAGGCCTTTGATACAATGGTACTTGAGCCCCCCTTTTTGCGGGCTTGGGGAGCCAACATCTTTGCGCGCTGGCATACCTCGCAGAACGGATTCTTGGGCCTGTGCGAGAACAAGTGCTCAACAGATTTGGCTTCAGCTTTCAGATCGGCCTCTGCAAGACTGCGGGCGTTTCCTTCGTTGTCACTGTCAGGTTCAACATCGGGGTCTTCGAAGATAGTGAGGCTCAGGATTGGGTTACCCTCCAGTCGGGCAACTTTGTTGTCAAGCTCCCTGACGTTCACTTTATCCTCAACCTTGACCCAAGAACCTTCCCTGAACAACCAAGTAGATCTGACTTCGCATCTTGGAAACCTTGGTGTGGCAGTACGAAACGTCTTTGGTTTGTGTCCGACAATCAAGTACTTAGTATTTGGGTGCGAAACCCAACCTGGTCTTTTGAGCTTTTCTTTGGGAATGTCTATTGGCGGCACCTCATTGATGGCTGCTGAGATCTCAGGATCGGGGTGCTCGACCACTGGATCTCGGTCCTCTGCTGCTCCTGCGAAAGCCTCGGCCGGCCCTATTGGGCGGCAGATTTCTGAAAACCCTCGGACAGAATTGGCCGTCCGAGAGATCCTGAGGCTTCTTCGTTGGTACTTGGGGCGGCCATTGCTCCTCCCCCAAGGACAGGCACCATACCTCTCATTCTACACCTTAGTCTTTGACCATTGGGCGCAACGAAGTAAGGCGGCTTTTTGGGGTACCAATGGAACTCATAACCGTCCTCCATGCACCTTCTTCCAACAGAGCAAACAGGAGGAGTACTTGCGAGAACGTAGAACTCTAGCTCTTTGCCAAACTCCGGGAAGTCGATCCTGACCGATTTGTCACCCTTGACATTTCCGTTAGCAGTGATGAGGTTTACTTGTCGAGTAGCATTGCCTATCGGTTCTTCGCCAAAGTACATAGCACGATCAGCTTCGCTGATGAGGTCCTCCTCGCTCCCCGTATCAGCAAGGAATTCTAAGGGCGTGGCGATTCCTGGACAGGCGATCTCTGAGCTCTCAACGACGTGCTTGCACATCCCACACATGAGAGAATCAGGCTCATCACATTCTAAACGGCAGTCGGTTCTCTCTCCCCCCTCATGCCGGGCAAGGAGCATAGTGAGTTCCCTTGCGTTCCTAATTGCAACCTGAAGGTCATTGTTGTCAGGTTTGGGGCAATTTTCCGCATCGGCATAGCAAGTGTTGTACCTGCGAACTTTGTAGGAATGCTTGTACCCCTTCCCTTCAATAGGGATTTCCCTGACTTTGGGCTTTTCACAAAACTTGACCTTCTTGTTTTGTTCTTTGATTTTGAACACAGTCTTGCCAGTCCATGGCGTTTTGTCGTTCGTCCCCCCTTTTCCCCCTTTCCAATCCCAACTCTCCTTGGCTGTGTAGGGAGCAACGGGAAGGGTCTTGATCACCTTGGCCGTACCTTTCAACTTTTCAAGAGCAACAGGGCATGACATTTCAGGCTTGTACATAGTACTTCTGTAGTTCAGGTGATGTCGAATGGCTTCACCCCTTTTGAAATCCACTTCCCAGTAGTCCTTCTCTCCATCTTGTGGGTCATCTCCCTCGGGACGGATTGAGGCTGCAGCCGCAATCGAGATGCAGCATGCGGCTCTCCTGTCCTTCTCCTTAGAGCGACCACGGCTTGGCTTTCTGCGCGTTGGCGCAGGCGATGGAGACCTAGGTTTGTCTGGGTCCTTAGGAGCCGGGGCTGCGTTTTCACCACCTGTGGGAGCGGGGCTCGGTTCCCTATGCAAGAAACGGCACTTGTCTCCCCTGGTACATTTGCCTTTCTTCCAAAACGTGCATACCTGCTTTTTCTTCGGGGCGGTGCGAACAGGGGACTGCGAGCGTGGTTTGTGCGAGAACTTGCACTTGTCGCCCCTGGTACACTTACCCTTTTGAAAGTCGTAGCAAACTGGCTTTGGGCTTGGTGAACGGCTAGGTGATCTTGACCTGGACGGGGTCCTAGAGCGAGATCTTGACTTCGAGTTGGATTGGCTACCGGCAGAGCGATCTCTTCCCCGGCCACTCCTCGACGGAGGGCGTTGCGGCCTTCCGCCTTCAAGAACAGGAGCTCCAAACTTGTCCCCATGTGACTTAGCGATTCTATCCCTATTCTTGCGCATCCTTTCACGGGTTAGCAAATCCCGAATGGACTTCAACAAGAACGCGTAGGAATGTGAGGCAGAACCTTCCTTGGCCCTATCATAGATCTCCAAGTCGTATTTCATCCTTGAGGACTTGCGGATTTGGCGGAGAAGGATGTCACGCAGAACCATTTCTTCTGGAACATGACTCATACCGGCAATGACTGACTCCCAATTGTGCAGGAATGTAGTCAAGTCGTCACTATGCAGTGTAACCTTCAAAAGGTCTTCTACTGAATAGAGCGACCCTACTTCTTCATTGGTTTTGAAGTACTGATCAAACATAAGCAACACCTGGCGTCCTCGTACCGCACGTCCATGGACCGCCTCGGTTTCCTTGAAGGTGAGCACCTGTCGAGATAACTCTCCCTTGGCGACCTTGGTAAGCGCGGCTAGGATTTTGGTATCCAGCGTGAGGAACTTTCCTGGTTCACGGAGCTTGTCATGATCAGCATCCTTCGCGTAAACCTCTAAAATCCAAGAGAAAGCTTCGTCTGGTCTGTCTGAGGCTGCCCTAACCGCTTCCCGAGTTGCTGTTTTCCACGCACGATACGTTTCGGGGTTGGGGAAGTCCGGCAAACGGATGTTCTCAGCCTCTTTGACCTTTGGCTTGTCATCTTCGCCGCCTTTGTCTCCCTTGAGGAGTTTGGCGGCTTCCAGCAACGCTTGTTGCGTCTGTGCGATTAAATCAACTCCAGTGGCTGCCGGACTAGCCGGCGTGCCCATTGGGGCCGCGAGACCAGACACTCCTCCACCTAAGCCAGTCGGGGGCACAGGGGTTCCCGGGGCTTGTGTTGGAGCTTGTGGCCCCGCTGGTGTGGCAGTAGTTGCCGCACCACCAAAACCGGAAAACATTGCTCTTAGGCTGAGCGGGATCACGCTTGGCGATGAAAACTGAGGAGCTGTCGGCACATTGAGGCCGGCACTTTGCGGTACCGTTGCTGGGGTCACGGCCGGAGGGAACTGAGCTTGGGACGCAGTGTCCTGAGAAGCATTCCTGTCCTGCTCGAGTTTGAGCGCACGCTCAGCTGAGGAGAGTTCGTCCTGAAGAACATCATTTTGACGCCTCATTTCCTCTTCACTCTCGCGGGCAAGCAACCTATACTGCTGCATTGCTTGGTCATGTTCCCTACCAAACCACTCTCCCACCTCATTGAGGGTTTGTGTTTTGTTCTCCTCTGCTTCTTCGATTAAAGTTGTTCGAAGTTGCGTGATCTGCGAACTAACGCTGGAAAAATGTTCCGTTTGGAAAGCGATGACTTGGTGTTGTTGTCGCAGCTCTGACACGAGATGATGATTGGCTTCGATAAACTGATATCGTTGTGTGGCAATCTCGGATTCGAGCTGTGCAACGATCTCCTCATGCTGTCGATTTGCTCGTTCTTCAACATTAGCGATTCTTTGATCATGAGCATATTCGGCAGCCTGGCGGAACCTCTGGTGTCTGTTTTCTGCTTCAATTTCAAGTTCACCGAGAAGCGATCTGGTTTGTTCCGGAGACTCACCGACCATGATGTTTTGCTGGAAATTCTGTCGATACATGTGCAACTGTGGTGCGAACGGTACGGCCGCAAAAGGAGTTCGGGCGTTTGGCTCAAACACATTAGTGCTTGCTGCGCCCTCTTCCAGTGCACCGTTCGTAGCAACTTGCTCAGAAGCAGTCTGAGGTAGTCCCACAGGAAGCATGTCGTCAGATTCCAGGTCGGTTGCCACTTCGGTGGGAACCAGCTCGGGGCTGTCTCCCATACACCAGTGTCTGCCAGAGTAACCAGAGGCGCCGCAGACTCAGTAGAGCCTACGGCTGATAACCTATAGTTTGGGAAATCCACCAATGCAATCCGTTAAGCCATGAAACACAGGCGCACTTCTACCTTTTTGTCTCAGAGGGCTTGAGTGCGATAGGTGCAACATACATGAAGGCAAAAGTGGCAAGGAGGTCCGAATATAAAATACACCCTTAGCTTGGCAAGTTGGCCAGAACATCCTCAAGTCCACTGCGGTTGTCTTTTTCCGCCGACATCTTGCATATCTTACATTACAAACCTATTCTTGACTTGGACTGGCACTATAGGACAGACTTCTCGAACACACTCATGTCTGAGGCACCAGCGCTACCGCCGACAGCGAGCGCTAGGATGTCCTCCAAAGGGCACTCAGTACTCAGGTAAGGCATGGTCAAAGCTCCTTGTGTGTCCTCGCGATGACCATTCAGGGATAGATGAAGTGCGGGTGGCACGGAAGCGTTGGGAAAACAAAAAAAGCGTCGCAAACCACAGCGAACAAAACTTCTGACACCGAGACAACAGTTCAGAAAACACAACCAGCAAGCAGGGTTGGAACCATCAAAAAGACAATGGAACCCCCAGTCCATAAAGTCTAAAGCCCTAAACCGACTCTCCCCAACCCTGAACCTAAATACTAAATGGTTCCTGAATTCTCTGTCCCCTCCGTTCCCTGAGACTTCTGGGCGTGGTTGCCGAAATTGTTGTCATGATGCTTCATGCTATTGGTTGACGATGCTTCCTCATATGATCAGACAGTGGCTGCGGGAAGCCTGCTGAGGATAGACAGTTAGTAAGACGACTTCTTCCCGGAAACCAGGCCACAGACCCGAAGTACTAGGCCAAACTACACCATGCATGTGTTAAAGCTGTGCTTGCAACGTTGTCACACTGTCACACTTGACGAACTGGGGCTGGCTTATCCACGTTATCCCACGCTGCCCGTGACACTGCCTCTGGTTGTCACAACGAGAATTGTGGCCTGACTGATTATGGCGCCGGCTTACAGCACGATGTCTGAAGCCTCGCTTACTCTATTGCGCTCCTGAAGCAGCATGTTCATGGACCAGCCGTCGCAAACTGCATTGTGCCTTGGCTGATAGTTAGTTTCGACTGCATATATTGTGTACACATATATGTATACGTATTTGTATAACTGTTCTTGCGCAGGAGTGCAAGCCACAGCAACAGTCTTGTCGCTCACGTTACGTGTGGCGATGTGTCACGCTGGTTGCTACCAAGGACATCCCGGATTCCGTGGTGGGAAACCGGCATCTGAAGCAGCACATGGTTCACACCCTCACAGAGCCCTGCAAATACGACTTCTCTGGTGCGCAGACTCCTACAGTGATGACATGTTGGCTTTCAGGTATAGAGTCGGTGTTCTACCTACAAGGCTTGGAAGATAAGGCGCTGAGCACGAAAGCCGAGCCCATGCACAAGAATATCCGCAACCAGGGCGAGAGGCACAGTCAGGGCGACTGCGTGTCGAGTTTTGGACTCTACCTGCGATGGGACCGGAAGGGCGGGAAACAAAGCTTACTTAAGCTTACCAAAGAAGCAGATCGCAGGTAAGGGTAGGGAGAAAAGAGGTCCGCTATCACAAAAAGAGCAGAGACCTCTCAGCCCAGCCTACACCCTTGAGCCCTTAAAAATGTGACAGGTGTCTACAGTGTCTACAGGCCCTACAACTGCACCAGCGACTTGTGGACATGCCTTGGATCCGGCAATATCTGGCGACCGCCACAGTCAGCTTTGGGGACGCTCCAAAAGCAAAATCCTGAAGCCACGCAGAGCATGTCAAGTCACTGAAGCTTCCCAAGCCCAAGCCCAAACCCTTGAAAGCCCCACAGCCCCCAAGTGCGCCTTGCCATGAAAAAAGACGAGGCGTAGGAGCGGGCCTGCAGTTGCGACTCTGTCCGAGAGTCTGTCGCGATTTCAGCGCCGGAACCCTGAAACCCCGCAAACACCCCAAGCCTTGACCGCAAGCTTCTCCTCTTTGCAAGGCCCGCTTCTTGATGCCCAGCTGTTTAGGGTTTTGAAGCTGCAAGACATAAGCTGTTGAGATGCACTTCCCAAACCAACACACCCCCAAATCCTGCTTCACCCTGTGCATAACCACGACCCCGCCGAGGCCCTCAGCTCACTTCTCCCATATGCTCTACATAACTTGTCCACCGCTGAATGGCCCCTGAACCTTTAATGAAGGAGGGTTTACGAAAGTAGGGGACCCCAATATAGATCCCCAAGTAGTAGGATCTCCTTAGAATAAGGAGCCCAATAAGGTAGCCCTATTTTCGGAAACCCCCGAGACTCCTCACCACGCGCCTTGCCGCTTCAAGCTGGGGTTTGCTGTGCTCGCACCAGCCAAGCGCAGGCGCTTGGCGGGGCCTTCTTGCGGGGATTTGAGGACCGCTCAGACCTGTTGACAGGTGCACAGTTATAGGGTGTCGATATTGAGATGGGCTGAAGTTCTTTAAGTCTTCAGGGCTGCACAAAGTTCTGTGTGGTTGAGTTATACAGCTTTCATCTTGCGAGGTTTGAGGATCTTGGGGCTCCCATGGAGAATCAGTGCGTGCGGGGGGGGGGGGGGGGGGAGGGAGGGGTTTGCAACGTAACTTGATATTTCCCCCGCGCAAAAAAACATAATCGTGACCAGGGTACTGAAAGCAACCCACCAAACCCCACACTTGTGCATCACAAACGCCCCCTGAAACACGTTGTCTAGGAGATCCTCGGAATACCCGGATCCAAGGTCCTAAAAACGGCTTGAGCTGTTGGTGTTGCGGAGGTAGTACTCTGGGCTGGACGATTATAGGCTTGTGATGGGCCCGGATACGCAGCTACCCAAGACGCCCTGCAACCGCCACCGCAACTCAAGACATCTTGCTGCGCTCCTGTTTGGCTGTCTGGAAGCTTGCCCTCCTGAAATTCAGCCACGGACCTTAGGCCAGATTCAGGGGGCTTAGGCTCAGACTTCATCTTTGAGGACCTATATGGACCTTTACGATATTAGGGGTACCTTATTGGGGTCCTTGCTATAAGGGGATCCTTTAAGGGGGTTGTTTGGGCGCTTTTCTCTTTTTGCTGTCGTGGGTGCGACCCTTCCGGGAAGCCGTCCGACGCGCTGTCGGGGAGAGCTCGGCAATCAAGGTACGTTGCCAGTTCTCTGCTTCACACAGGAGCCTTCTCCGGGCCCTCAGGGACCTTCTCGGAAGTCTCGGGGACCTTCTCGGAAGTCTCGGGGACCTTCTCGGACCCTTCAGGGGCCTTCTCGCTATTTTCAGGGGCCTTCTCGGTGCTCTCAGGGACCTTCTCGGGACGCTCAGGCGGTGGTGGCGTCTTCATTGTCGCTTCTGGCACATGCTGGGCTCTTCGGACCATCTTGATGCACCTGAGCAACATGCTGAGGTTGGATGCGCTTGCAAATTTGGTGGGTCGGGCCATCCCTCAAACAACCCCCTCTTCCGCCCACCCCTGCTACAGTAAGCTGCTGTCGAGGTGCATCGATAGTAAACTGATGGTCGTTTCTGGGGCCGGCTCATCTCGAATGTCAAATCCCATTCCTCGGATGTTGTCCCGCTCAACTCTCGACGAACTGCCCAAAAAACCCTAACTCTTCAAACTCGCCAAAGCTTATAAGTTTTAAAAGGCCCAACGCCCGCAACTCCCCTAGAAGGGACAACCCCAAACCCTAAACCCTAAACCCTAAACCCTAAACCGAGAGTCGGAAGAAGATCTGCTGGGCCCTGGAGTTGACATGGAGCACTCGCACGGCCACGGACTCGAAAGCCCATCCGGAGCTCAAGGCCTCGGTGGCCGGTGGCTTCACCGTGTGGTTGTTTTGTTAGGGTTTGGGGTTTAGGGTTTAGGGTTTAGGGTTTAGGGTTTAGATGGTTTAGGGTTTAGATGGTTTAGGGTTTAGGGTATAGGGTATAGGGCTTGGTCAGGTCATGTGTTTTTTCCGGGTCGGCGTAGAGAGTTCAGGCTAGGGATAAGCAGGGTCCCGGGTCACTCGCATACTACAGGAAGGTGGGCAGCCCCCGGACTCATCAATGTGGGACCCGATTTAGTAGGGGCCCCGATAAGGCAGGTGTGCTAGGATATTCAGAACCCCCTCAACAGACAATCGCACCCTTTTTTTGCGGGGTCCGCAAGCGGACGGTTCGCCAGGACGTTTTCCCCCCTCCCCCCCCCCGCACCCCCCCCGACCCCACCCCCCCCCCCCCCCCCCCCCCCCCCCCCCCCCCCCTCCCCCCCCTTTTCCCCGCCCAAAGCCACTGCAATGTGTGAGCACGGCCGGGATGCATTACACGAGCCGAAGTCCTAGCTTGAACCTCACCCTAAGGGCTCAACCCTACGATCAATCCAAGCCGAACCGTCGTGAACCCTAAACCCAACAAAACCCTAAACCCCAAAGCGTGAACCTCAGCCCTCAATCCTAAACTAACCCTCAACCCTAAACCCCAAACCATAAACCATAAACCCGGAACCCTAAACCCTAAACCCAACCCTTATTGCTTGGGGTCCAGCGACTTGGGCACTGCGGAATCACCATGCTCACGCGGATGCGCTGGGCCGGGCCGAGGCGGGTCGCGTAGCGTTAAAATTAAGCCAACTCTTCCGGGTGTTGAAAGAGCATTTCGTGTGGAGCGCTGTCAAATTGCCGGGCCTCTCCGTCCCTTTTTGAATTCGTACCAACTCATCCCTTGCAAAGCATACAAAGTTCCGGGATCGTTTAAAGATGGACAGAATCAGCCTCGACTGTTGCGGAAGGCGGGGGTACACTAATACAGAGGGCGCAACATTGATCTCCAAGAACGCGCCCCGAAACTCCCGACAAGCTCGTGGGCTCACGAAACCCATTGATTTCTGCAGGCTTAATCCAAAAGCGCCTTGGTCTCTGCCGCCGCCATCAAGAGCTTTCCCACTCCTTTCTGCTGGTGCTCTGAATGCACCTGCAGCCGGAATAGGCGCCTCTTGGCGCAGAATTTTGGGGATGACCTTAACGGACAATTAGATCTCGTACAAGTGAGACAGCACAAGGGAGATCGCATCTAACCTTGGCGAGTTCAAGCCACTGACAGCCCTAAGACAACCGACAAAAGCAAACCCCCCCCCCCCCCCCCGGCCTTCAAATGGCCAATGAGTAGCTCGTTGTTCCCAGCATCTGCATGACAGAAGCCGACCACGCGGCCGGAACTCCTATCCAGAGAGTTTCATCACAATTCAGCTTCAGCCATCCGAACGAAGACAAAAGTACTTGCATAAACGCGAAACATGCTGGTGTCTCAGCAAGGCTCTTGTCCACGGCAACGAGCACCAGGCTTCCAAAGGTACCACGGCGCTCGATGATGTTCGAATATTGCTTGAAAAAGTCTGAGTCTGTTGCATATGCACCCAAGGCGGCGCAGTAGTCTGCCGATCTGCAAGCGCGGACAAAGAGCTGGGTCTTGAAAAGACCGACTTGGTCGGTCACCAGCCTCGGCTGGTGTTAGAGGGAAGCTCAAGCGGGACACGTCGGCACGTACTGTTCCGCTCAACTTACTGATCGCGCCCATTTCATTCATGTTCAAGCAGCCCCTTCTCGAGCTCTCGAACCTGCTCCAGGAACTCCTCCCGGATGAGCTCGATCTGGTGCGTGGCATTCTCGGCCACAACCTCCGGCGCCTGCGGCTTCGGCTTCTCCTGCGCAGTTGACGCGATGCTCGTTGATGGATCGTCGCGTGTGTTTGGACCAAGCAACAAATGTGTCACTGATACGGATATGACAAGCAACTTCAGAGATAGGAAGGCCAACAAGAGTGAAACCCCCTCTGTTCCAGAACATCCCATCTCCTTCTTCGCGTTGGACTTGTGCGACTTGGGCAGCCTGGCACGTTTGGCCACCTTGATCAGGTACCAAAGAGGGGCACTCTTTGGCAGATTTAGGATACGCCAGGAAAATGCCACTTACTATGGAGAAGTAGGCAAGCACAAACAAGAAAATCGAAGAACTTTAATTACCATGATGGAGCGAGACGCCCAATTTTCAAAGGCCCGGGGCCCCTCCGCCGCTGAGGGCTCATCTTCCTTCTTCTGGTTTCAGCCAGTTTGCTTGGTTTTATATAGTGCAACTGTGCTAAAGGCACCCCCCACATGCTGCTTGTTCTTGCTGACTTTGGTTGGACGGTCTTATTTCCTAGCAGCCCGTGAAGGCAGGAAAGCAAACGAAGACGACTCTTGCCGGACGGAGCTTCCTCTCGGCGCTTGCGCTTCTTGCTGGGCGTGGTTGGCTGAGAGGGCTCACCCCATTCCTGTCATGCTCTTGCAGCCTTGCTTCAACAGCACGAGCAACACGCGCTAGACTGGGAACAACGCAGGTGCCTCGATTCGGGCCCGCAAGTCGCGAGCCATTTCGACAGATGCCAGGCTCTCTGGAGATTCGAGGCTGCTGTTGTTGATGCCCAGAGAAGCGCCGCATTTGAGCAAGTAAACTACCTTGTTGGGATCTTGGGAAAAGCACAGTGTGCCCTCCTTCTCAAGTTGCACAACTAAGCATGACATGTCCTGAACAAAGATTTGCAAGCCGTAGCTGCGGTCTCCAGCTTGTTGTTCTGGACGGCATAGAAAATGGGAGTCTCGTTGCAATAGTCGACCTGATTGACATCCATGCCGCAGGCCTCCACGAAGAAGGCGCAAAGCCTCGGGCTGCAGGAGAAGGTTAGAGGCCAAACCCTGTCATTTACCTCGTGGGTTGGAAACATGCTTTGGATCTCCAATTTCGTGCACGGAAGATGGCTGCAATACTGGCCTGAGCCATCGAAGCTGATTGCAGATTTCCATTTGATTCTGTGTTCTTGGTTGGAGAATGCGAGTTCGTGCCTGCTTCGCAGTTGCTTGGCATTTTCCAGATATGGAGGCTTCTTAAGCAGAGTGAGTTTGAGTACTCACAATGATGATATTGCGGGAATTGTGTTTCTTGGGCAGGCCGTTCACACAACAGAAAGCAATACACCCATTCCAATCTCCCCCGTAAAAAGTCGCTTCACGTCACCGCTTCCCAACTCATCTCATCTTGAGCCGATCAGAAGGGGTCAGGCACAATCAAAGTCCCAAAGGGGGGGGGGAGGGGGGGCGGGGGGAGGTTGGGGTTGGACGCGTGATCTTTTAAGAAAAACATATTGAGGATGCTGGTGTTCAGAGTGTGGTTGGGTGGACTCAAAAAAACAAACCCTCAGAACAACAAACGCTGAACCCTAAGCAAACCTTGGAACCACAAGGCCTTAGCCCCAGTCCAGTGGCTCGGTGTGCCCCTGCCTCGCTGCATAAAACCTGAGCTGTGCCAGGGGAGTAAGACCGCTTGATTGGGCGTCGCTCTGTGTCGTGTAACAACCCTCAACCCGAAACCCTAAACCCTAAACCCTAAACCTTCAAATGACAAACTCACCAGTACCCCACCTGGAACCCGATTCTGAACTCCCAGGGACGCTAAGGGGCTGAAACACACAGCGTTCGGCCGTGCTCCTCCAAGCCCTGAATCCCGCAAGACGCCTGAAACCATCTGAAACTCGAGCTCCAAAACACGGCGCCCATGCTCTGCTGTGCTTTGTCCCCTGAATCCAAAAACCCTACCATGACAGGGTGGTGGCTTGCCCTTTTACGGCCTTTTTTTGGCAACTCGAACAAGCGGTGTCTATATCTTCTTCAGCACAATTCAGCACAAGACCAGCCCAAAGCCAAACCCTGTCTGCCAGGGAACAAAGGACTTTGCTGCCAGTCATCCTTTGTCGTCAACGGCGCGTTGCGGAATCGACTGTGCGAGGAGCACCAGGCTCGGGACTGGTTTGCATCCCGAGTTTGGGGCTCAGAGCTTCGGCTTCTTTAGGGCTTAGTAGGGCGACCTTCCACCTCAAGTATGTGGAAAGGGACATTGGGCACACTTGGTGGTAGTTTGAGGCCAGGTGTTGCCAGCCGCAGACCAAAGATGCATTGAGGAGTAGAGAAACACCAAGGTTGTTAAGTTCTGTTGGGTCGGCGGAGGGTTTCATCCAGCTCGCTCGTATGCACAACCCCTGCATTCTCCAGCATGAGACTTCAGTGCAGACGCGACCCTCAGCACAAGCGCCCTCAAGGACCCGCTTCTGAAATACCGCTTTATGCTCCAGCCGCTGAACCCACGCGTTCCATTAGAGGACTTCGGGGCTGCAGAGCATTCTGGTATTTGTTCCCCGACGGCAACATGCGGTTCCAGCGTTTGCAGTTAGCAAAGAGGATTAGGCTGCTCGCGTGCAATCGGATCCACGGAACTCGCCCAGCAGCGGCGCTCGCTTTTGGGGCCCAAGTCGCGCTCGCACAGCTGCTAATTTCCGAGGCCGTTTCAGAGTAATTACAAGCCACACACACCTCACGGTGTGGTGTGCACTTTTAAGGTTGAAGACTTCTCTGGGGTCTTAGGCTCGAATGGCTGTCGCAAACCCGTTGCAAGGGCTTTCTTGCCTCTGGGGCTCTTAAGGACGGCTTCGCTTGTGCGTCCGGTCCGTGGAGATCTGCGTTTCGCGGTGAAGTGGCTCGCCGGTCGTCTATAGAGCGCTGTGGGGGTCCATCTTGGAGCGGCCTTTGAGTGCTCTTGGCATGGTCTTGACGTCTCATACTGTTTGGGGTCTACGCCGGCATAGCTTCTCTTAAAGATCCGGGTCCAGGGTTCACAGGCATGTCTCACTGAACAGCCGAAGGCAGTCACAAACTTGTGTCGGCGGCCTCCTCAAAAAACGGCAGATCTGCTCCGCATCCATGCTGTCCTTCCGCAAAGCCCTAGACCCCCGAGCGCAGCTTGCAAGCTCTGCCTGCATTTCGCAAAGTTGAAAGTCCATGCAGCCCTTCAAGCTGCTGGGGCCTAGTCGTTAAGCGAAACGGGCTCTGGGACCCTGGGATTCTGCGAGCTCCGCGTTGTCCACACCTCTGATATGAGTTTAGATCCTCTGTGCTCCGGCCCATTACGACCTAAGCTCCCATTACAGCTGGCGATGTCCTCTCGCGCAGCTGCAAAGTACATGGCTGTCTGTCCGCACCTTGGGTACAGCCAAGTGCGCAGGGAGAAACGGGATCCAGGCATGTGATTACCTAAGAAATGAAGTCTGCCATAGCCTGGGTACTTTCAGGGACTGAGGTGAGGCTGGGCGTGACCGACACTCATCAGGGTGGGTTCAGCATCCCAATGTCATCATTTCTCGCATGCGCAGAAATCCTTCAACGTTGCTCTAATGTAGATGGTCGGTTCCATATGCTGGGTTGCCTCTTGGGTCCCTGTTCAAGGTACCCAATTAATCTAGAACTGCTCATGTAGAGCCTAGCGCCTGAACGACTCAGCCGTAGATGCCGAATGTGCAGAATCCATCTCTCCAAGACCACGAAACACAACGGAACCAATGTCCCAAGCAAAGGAGGCTTGGGGTCTAGACTTGACAACCTCTCAACGTGAGAAACCCTGCATAAAGAAAAGTCGAAGAATGACGTCCAGGATTTGACCATGGCCATGGCCATTCCAAAAGCACCTCAAACCCCGAAGGCTGATCCCAACCTGAAGTCCTGTGCAGACTGGCGACTTATATACATACGAGTATGTATACATACAAACAAATAATCATATATATATATATAGGGTAGATTGATAGATGTATATTATATACTGCAGACGCAGAGGTGCATCTTCCATTTCACGTCGACTTGTGCGGCGGCGATCCAGGCCTCCTCCTTGCGGTTTAGGGTCTAGGGTTTAGGGTTTAGGATGGTTTAGGGGTTAGGAGCTCCTGACCTATTTCGGAGTCTGCATCTATTCCAGGTTTTGCTGGAACATTCTTGCTTCTTGGACAGACACTGGCCATGACGCAAGCAATCTGAAGACCCCCTTCAAGCTCCGGAGGGCCATCGCGTATCGAAAGGAGCAGCTGGGGATCCTGGACAGGTGTACTCACGGTTCTTGTATTCTTCTACGTACCAATCTGGGCAGGACCGATGCGCTGTTCGCGCTGTAGGGTCTGAAGACAGTTCAACAGAGGCTTCATAGTTCCGCTGATGCAGACATTGCTTGAAGGAAAGCCGGGAAACGACAGGAGACGGACATGGCTGTTCGACGCAACCCCAAAAAACACGGCTAGCGAGAGCGTCGTCAAGTCGAGCTTTCTGTCGTTGTTGTTTCGTTGCCCTGAGCCCAAAACGGAACCCGCTACCTGCAAGATGCCCCAACACCTTTGACACAGCGTAGGACCCTTGGAGCCTGACGGTTCGTGCCACCCTTTCGAGCGGCCAGCAACCAGGCGGGGGTAGGCTTCCGCGGCATGCTTCAGTGGCTCAGCACTGTTTGCTGGACTTGAAGGAAGCTGCCACGACGCAGGCGCGAGTAGAAAACACTACCCGCCCAGCGCACACCCGGAGGATGAAAGATGATAGGAGGATTGATCCAGCAGTACGTGCCCCCTTTGTTGCGTTGCAAGCCAGACATGAATAATGACCAGGAATGAATCCTGAGGCCGGTATCTTTGCCCCAGCCTTGAGCACAAGCGCAAAGGCCAGGACTCCCTACGATGTCTTTGGCTCAATGAGGCTTAATGACGCTTGAGGCAGAGTTCTTATGGGGAAATCCTTCAGCGATGTGCAAAATATGCAAAGGCCTTTGGGGTCTCGATGGTGGGCCCAGAACGCACCTGCTGACGCGCATGTTCAGGCAGGTGCTGCATGCCCTTCCAACAGCACAGCTCAGAACAACATCCAGAATCCAAGATGAGCACCGGGCGCAACTTTAAGCCGTAGTTTCTGAAAATGACACAGGTTAAGGCATTCCCAGAAGATGTTCCTAAACCAAGCCAGCGGAATCCCCAAAATCACGTGATTCTAGGCCACATGCAACTACCCACCAACAGCCCAGCATTCTTGAGCTGGGCACCAGCTCGAACGGAGGACCACTTGCACAAAGCGGCCTTTGACCTGTGGGAGCTGCAGGAAGGGGAGTGGGGGATCATGGCTGAGACATTCGGATCTAGTAAATCTGATGGCTTCTGGCTTCAGAGTGTTTTCACATGCTAGAGTGTTTTTGAATGCTGGAGTATAAATGTGAATAAGGAGAAGCACGTAAATATAAACATGCACTGTAAATGAATATACATAGATATACACACTGAATGTAAAAACCCACCCAGACCCCATTGATCCACCCTGATGTTTGCTTGCTCACGAAATGCTAAAAAAGTCTCAATGCTTTTGTTCCAGAAGTCGAGAGAAGCTGCTGAGGAGTAACTATGAGCCAACAAGCTCTCGCAAGAGACTGCAAGTATTGCATGCAAGTTTGGGCAAGAACTGAGAAGTCAAGCGCACACTCGCCATACTACGTAAGCTACAACCCCAGCAGCTGCCATAAGGCTACCAGCCTCACAACCATGGGGCCGACATGTTTTGGGGTTATCGGAATACGAGCTTAGCGGCGGGGGGGGGGGGGGGGGGGGGTCGAGCCTGGTTTCCTGTCTTCCAATCAATTCTTCTAGGCCCTGGGCTCGAGACTCAAAATCCTGCCTGGTGAACTGAAATCTTCAACCCCCTGTGCCAATTAGCTCCGCAACGCCTCCGTCAACTAGCTTCTCTGTCTCGTGCTTTTATCTCCCATCTAGGCTTAAACACAACTGCAATAGCAATGGCGAAAGCCATGACAACAACAACAACAACATTTTCATTTCATTTCGAACGCATGTGCGGGTCATGTCCCACACCTTGGCGGGCATCGAGGGTGAAAATTAAGTGACCTACTCGTTCGGGACCTGGTCTGTTTCGATGTCCTGGCCATTGCAAGCCAGGTGGGTTGCGCTTCTGTACACGTCTCTGCGAGATTGGTCTTCAACCTCAGCAGGCAAGCTGGCAGGCAGGCCGAGTCTGGGGGGCATCAGCTATGCAGGCTGGCACTTGTGCATTATGAGGCATGGAGGCTTTTCTTCTGCAGTGCGAGCGGTGGTCTGAAGGTGTGATTAAGTCCAGAATTCGGACTAGAGGAACTTAGGGATGCTATGGTTCAGTTTGCTGGAGGCGACCTCACTCGGGCAGGCAGGCGCGCTCCGGAGTGCAGAGCGACTGCTAGGTATGAAGAGCTTGTGCTTCATACCCGACGTAAACCCTCAGATGTGCTTGCACATCATGGTCCTGCTGACAGCCCCTGTGGTTGCTAATTACGTCGTTTTTCACATCCAGATGTTGGTGATTCGTACCATGTGGACTATCTCTAGGCATTCTCGGAATGTTTTCAAGCGCATGGTGAATGGCAACATCGGAAAAGCCGCTCTGATGTCTCTTTTCGATGATTTGCCTTGGGCGCCCAAGCAAGACTTGCGCAAGGAGGCGTTTGAGAAGCTGTACTCGCAAGCACGAGCGGAGCTCACACGCATCCTGCATGAAAATGATGCTACCAAGCGCAACAAAGTCCGTGCAGTGTTTGATTTGGCATCAAAGAATGACGTGAGCCTCAGTCGCAAACATCGTGATGCAAAAGATGCAGGCAAGCGAAATCCAGCACCGGAAGAGCCCCGCAAGGGCCCTGCCAAGAATCAGAGGTTGCAGCCACCAAAGGACCGAGTTTCCATGCAGGAAGCCTTGCAGGACGGTGCCATGGTGAAGGCTCTGAGTGACGGAGTGTGGTTGCAGCATGTTTCCCTCGACAAACCCAACCCCAAGGGCGCTTTCTTGTTCTTGGATGCGGACCAGGCCGAGTTGTTCCTTCAGCACTTCGCGGGTTCAAAGAACCCAGAGCCTTTGTTGATGGTTTCAGAGTTCACGCCCACGGCGGAAATGGAAAGATACATGCCCTCCACCAACCTCTTCATCCCTGTCGAGCGTGGAGGACACATGTCGTATGTGCAGGGCTTTTACTGGCAGGTGGGAGAACAACCCCTCACCCTTCCAGCACAGCCACCAAAGGTTGACATCACGCCCATTTTGAAGGAAACCGTCAACCTGACCATGTCTATCCACCAGCGGTTTTGCACGCAGGACATGTGGAAAGAAGCCTTTGGAGTTTTCCGTACCTCCAAGAATTCTTTTCGGGACTTTGCCCAAACCCTGCTCAAGAAGAAAACGGAGCTACTCTCACAGGACAAGAAGACACCTACCATCTTGGATGTGTGGAGTCCACGACTTTACGGAAAGGGAGCCACCCAGATCCTTTCAGTCCTCTTCAAGGCGCCACATGATCATGAACGTGAAGTATGGAGACATTCTGGATGTGACGGAGTCTTTTTCGAGCATGCCCACCTTGGTGACCGAGACACCTTGATGGAGGAGAGGGAAAAGTACAAGGTTGTGCACTACAAGGATGAAGTTCCGCTGACCACGGCGCTTGCAGATCTACAGGGTCTTGGGGATCACATGGGTTTGGTGTGCACATCCCGTGGCTTGGGAGTTCGGTGCGAAAAGCAAGCCTTGAGTGCAGTTACAAAGGTGGTGCTTGGTCCCAACGCACTGGTGGGCGCGGATATGTTCGTGGTTAAAAATCTTCCGCTGCACCTTTCGCGTGATCAGGCCCAGACAGTGCTCAACACCCAGATGGGCTTCGAGTGTGCGATTTTGGACTTCTACGTGTACAAGCAAGCTCGCCATGCCAAGGTGCGAGCACCTAAAGCGCCAGCGCAAACAGCAGTTACGATGCCCACGCCATCGGGTGATTTCTTGGTAGAGATTCAGCCTGTGGGTACTGTTGCTTTGAAGGCCTCAGGGGCAAATGAGTTGCCCAACAGTGTCCGCGCCCCGCCCGCGGCAGCATCGGCAAGAACTTCCACTTTCCCGCCACCTCCCCCGCCAGGGTTCAACATCACTCAGATCGGGAAGGGTGCCATTGGAACCCCGGTGACGATTCGGGGCCCGCAGCAACGCGCGGCCACTCCACAGGCTACGGCTACACCACATCGCGAAGTGCATGAGGTACGGTATGCGGGCTTGGAGACAAAATTCCAGCAGCAGGTGCAGATGCTCACGGACACGGTGCAGAACATGCAGACAAGCATTGAACAACTGCAGCTTGCCCAAACGGCCAAGCCGACGCAGGAAGATGAGGAGATGACTGATGAGCGACATCAAACAATTCTGGCACGTTTCGACTCGATGGATGCGAGGATCTCCCAGGTGGAACAGAAAGCGGACAGCACAGATGACCGCTTTCGAAACATCCAGGGAATGCTTGAGGAGCTCGTCGCAGAAAAGAGGGCCAAGTTTTCGAAGTGAAGCGGGGGGGCTTCGGCAAGGGGACACCGCCGACCTCGCAGAGCTATTTGCCTTTGGTTTGTCATTCTGCTTACTATGTTTGGTGACCTGGGCCGAGTGATGGCAACATCTCAGACGGCCTGGCGAGTACATGGGCAGCAGAGTGGTCGGGTTACACCTTTGATATCCCAGGACACAAACTCCCGGGTTAGGAGTGACATCGCATTGGGGTCGGGAGATCTTTCTCATGGATCTCGCCAAGGGGAACAAAGCAGGGAGACATCAAGCCGAAGCTGTTATGATGCAGGCCTGCCGCAAGTGATACCATCGGAGGCGCCCAACGTCCCGGTGGAGAGCAAATTTGTAATTCGCAGTTGCAACATCACAGCTTGGAGACCACATGCTCCGGAGTTGCTGTCATGGAATGCAGATGTGGTACTAATGCAAGAAAGTCGGCTCACCGCAGTGGCACAACAGCAAGCCACTACCACTGCAAGGAGCGCAGGTCGCCACTTACTTCATGGAGCCCCAGTTCCGGTTCAAAGTTCCCAGGAACTCCAGGAGGGAGGACAGCGATACATCAAGCCCACTATTTGGAACGGTCGACATGGAGGAGTTTCCATCATGTCACGGTTGCCCACGCAGTCTACACTGGCACATGATACCTCATATGATGCGGACCGCAATCTTTGGGAGCGGCAGCGGTTTGCGCTGGCACGAGTCCCTTTGGCCACGAATCGCTCCATCATGGTTGCCAGCTTCTATGGTCTTGCTGGAGGTGGAAGCCCGCATCGGCGAGATCAGCATTTTGAGTGTAACGAACGCATGTTGCAGCAAGTGTTTGAGGTGGCCTCTAGATACGGGGATGTGCCCTTCATCATCGGTATGGACGCAAACATTCAGGTCGATAAGTCACCTACCCTTGTCACTGCGTTGTCTACGTCCAGATGGCATGATGCGGGTGAGGTTTTTGGTCATGCTGGAGGATTGGCTCCCACGTATTGCCAAGACCCTCAGTGGGACAAACATGCAGCAATACCGGGCGCTACCCGAATTGACTACATTTTGGTTAACTCTACAGCGCTCAGTGCATTGCGTGATTTTCGGCTGGTCAGGGATGCTGGCCTTCCAGGCCACCTTGTGCTTGAGGCGGAGTTCAATTTTACAGCTTTTCGAGAGGAAGGGTACACGCTGCGTCAGCCTAGGCCCTTTCCCTTGAAGAAGATGCCCCAGTATGACGATGCCACCCTTGAAGAAATGGGCCAACGCACTTGGCAACCCTTAGAGGCTCCATATCGGGATGCACTACAACTGGGTCGGGCTGATAGAGCATGGCAATTGCTAAATCATGGTTTGGAATGCTTTCTCGAAGCTCTGGCAGAGGAGCTGCCATGCACTTGGTCGCTGGGTCGTGGCCAACCTCCAAGGTTTGACCAGTTCAGCTCGAGGGCGCCGAGGGAAAACATCAACGGGGGAGCTCAAACCATGCATTTGAGACAACTTCAGAAGCTTCTACAGCAGGGCCGGTCTTATCTAGCCCAGTCCCGCCGACATGTTCGTTGGCACACGGAAGGCAGACCTATTTCCGGGGCTGACTACAGACAGCGCGTTGAGGCATGGAGAAGTTTCTGCCGCAAGGGTCGTGGTTTGCTTGAAGCAGATTGGGACAGGTGGTGGACGGACGCCGAACCAGCAATCCAGGATATGCAGGCCATAGTTGATGCTCTTGCCAGACGATTCGACTGGGAAGCCAAGCGGCAAGCACAAGGTCGAGTCCAAAAGTGGCGGGAGTCTTTGCGAAAATCTTTCCGGAATGACCGCAGTGTCTTGTGCAAATGGGTTCGCCAACGAGAACAACGACCTATCACACACGTGATTGCGGAGGACGGGGTCAAGTCAGCAGTTCCTGATATGCTTCTGTCTCTTGAGGATTTCTGGGTTAAGCTCTTCAACCTGTACTCTCATGATACGCCGCCCACTTGGGAAGCCTTTCAGCAGCGATATGGGCACACTTTCCCTGCGTGCCAGCCTTGCAAACTGCCTAAAATCACTGCCAGAGATTGGAAGGCACAGGTTCACAAGTTGCCACTACATGCTGGAAAGGGCGTGGATGGGTGGAGAGCGGGTGAGCTGCAACGGCTGCCGCTCTTCTTATGGGAAATTGTTGCGGACTTCTTTGATGCCATCGAGCAAGGCATGCAATGGCCCAAGAGCCTCACGTATGCGCAAATAGGCTTGATGCCGAAGGGGGACGTCTCCAAACCTGGAAAGCAGCGCCCTATCTCAGTGTTTGGCATACTCTACCGTTGTTGGAGTTCACTGCGTTTCCGTCACATGCAGTCGTGGAGAGAACAATGGATGCCGGATAATATGCGTGGAGCCAGAGCAGGTGGATCCACGCATGACATCTCCATCATGCTCTCTTTGGATGTTGAGGTCGCTCAACTAGAAGGTCGCCCGATTGGGGGATTCCTCTTCGACAGGGAAAAGTGCTTTGATCGCCTCACCTTTGACATCACAGATGGATTGGCGGGAGTTTTTCAAGCTCCAGAGGGCGTGCGGATTGCCATGAATCGGCTCTGTCGTCAAACCAAGAGGTTTCTCAAAATCGGCAAGTTCTGCGGACGTGTGTTTCAAGCCACGAATGCTTTGCCCCAAGGATGCTCTTGGAGCATACTCAGCATACTCATGCATATGGCTGTTTGGCATCGCGATCTGGCCTCTTGTGCCCCATTAGCAGTGACGTATTCCTTCTATGATGACTCCAGCACAACGGGGCCAGACCAGGAGACTCTTGATACGGCTTTGGCTGCAACCATAGAGTTCGATGAGTACACTGGCGGATTGCTGAATGGAGAGAAGTCCATCGCTTTTGCAATTGGGGAAGAGCTCAAAGCACACTTGCAGCAGCAAAACCTGTATGGGCAACCGCTCACGGTAGCAGACTATGGCAAGCTGCTGGGTGCTTTTCTCTCTTTTGGCGGTGATTTCCCAGAGGACAAGCAAGATGAGAGACTTCAGCGGCTCATCACGGTCATGCGCCGAATACGAAGTGTACCCGGCACTCCGCAGGTTCGCGGCTACTTGGTGGACATTTTTGCCTCCGCGGCCATAGCTTTTGGCACAGAACAAGGGGGATACTCCGACAAGGCCAAGAAGGAGTACATGGCATTGTTGCGTCAGACCTTGTGGAATTGCGACAATATGTGGCCAAACATGGCCATTACCTTGGCGATTCTCTTCAAAGGTCATCGTTTCGATGTTGAGGCCATAGAGCATCATGAACCCCTACGCCTATGGCGACGCCAGATTGTTCGAGACGAGCATACCAGATCCAAACTACAACACGCATGGGCGCTCAAGCAGCAGTGCCCCGAAGTGGTCACCGGTGGTATTTTGCACAGACTTGACGTTGTTGCGCGGGATTTGGGATGGACCTGGTCTCAGTATGATGTTTTTCAGCGACCCGGTGATGTTCCATTACAATGTGGTTTGGCAAAAAACATCTTCGAGCATCAGTTGCGGGAATCCTACAGACGCGACAAGATTGCAAACGGGACTCACAGAAAGGACAACGTTGGCCAGCATGCGGGCGTTGACTATGACATCACGGTTGCCTTGTTGCGCACTTGGGAGCGCAACCCCAATGTCACAACTCCTTTGCGGATTGGGATTCTACGCCGATGTTTGGGGGGTGCCCTCTACACACGCCAACGGCTGCATCGGGCCAAGGTGGTTGAAACGCCGTGGTGCACTTTCTGTGATCGGCATGAAGAAGAGGATGGCTGGCATCTTTTCTGGACCTGCCCGCGATGGGAAAGCTTGCGGCAGTACGTGAAGTCCATCACTACAGAACAGCAGCGGTGGTTCATGCATGGATGTTTGGCTCACTGCGGCGTTGCTCCCGTGCATACTGAGGCTGAGGATTGGTTTGTACAAAGCTATACCCCAGAAACGACAGATGGCGCTGCACATGCTACAGAACCTGGCGATGCGGAATGTGAAGTCATTCGCGATGGCTTCCTTCTCACTGCGTCGGACGGGGCGTGTCGGCATGCACAGTTTCCAAAGCTACGATCTGCTGGATGTGGGATGTACTATGGCAAGGACCACAGTTGCAACAGAAGCTTTCCTTTGATGGGAGTTGTCCGTGACGCTGCTCGTGCTGAGATTGCGGCAGCTCTCCACATCATCAGGACGGCGTGGAGGCCCACTGAAATCCTGATCGATCGAAAGGCCACGCTGGACGGTCTCAGACGCATTGAGCAGGGCATCTCCTACAAAGACTTGGCAAATGCGGATCTCCTGGAGCACGCAGCCAATGCGTGGCAGGCCAAAGGAGGCTCCGTCTTTTTCAAGTTCACCAAGGTTGCGGCACATGGCAGAGGGGGCTCTGGGCAAGACCAGCTCCACACGGCGTACAATGCTGCAGCAGACAGGTTGGCCACCGCTGCAGCTGACTCCGTCAAGCCTCCGGATGATCTTGCTGATCAGTACAAGCAGTATGCCAAGCTGGTGCGGGCTATACAGATCATGTGTGTCGACATCCTGGAGGCGCAGAAAGCGGCCACTGCGGAGGACATCCAGGTGAATGATCCTCCGGAGCCGCCTCCTGAAAGCGCTGCTCCGGGCGCTGAGAGGGATCAGGCTATGGCTGTTGAGGCTCTGCCGGCGGCGCAGTTTTCCAACATCTATCCTGATTATGTTTGGCCTCGAGAAGGTGATGAAGATGGACACAGCCATGCAGTGCCACAACCTGTCACCTGGCGTCAAGTTACGCCGCAGTTTCGGCAGTTCTGGCTATATGGGCTGGAAGCTTTTCATGCGGTGCAATGGTACTTCCGACACCTCAAGTGGTACACAACTCCTGATGCCGACAATCCGTTAACAGTGGCCGATGTTACATGGGCTGAATTGGTGCTTGATTTCAGCTTGTCCACAGGTTGCAGGATGTGGAAAATGGACCAGAACCCTACCAATCTTGTCCAACAAGCAGAAGCATTCAAAAAAGCCGCGCAAAG